CTTTAAAGGTGACTGCAAGAGGGCTGTCTAAACATGTATGATTATAAAGTTAATAAATAACTATACCTGTATATAATATTGGTTTTTACATTCAACTAAACGATATAAGTCAAGCGTTATATTTCATATATTACCATGTCATGTTGTACTTGCAGTCTCGTTTACAGCTCCGTCGCCAGGAATGAATTGGAACTGTTTTCTATTTGGCTCACTGACCCATTTCTCAGCTGTTACTCGGATATTTGACCTAGTTATTCTATTGGAACTGTTTTCTATTTGGCCCATTGATCCATATCTCAATTGTTACTCGGGTATTTGACCTAGTTATTCTATTGAAACTGTTTTTTATTTGGCTCACTGATCCACATCTCAGCTGTTACTCGGATATTTGACCTAGTTATTCTATTGAAACTGTTTTCAATTTGGCCCATTGACCCATATCTCAGCTGTTACCCGGATATTTGACCTAGTTATTCTATTGAAACTGTTTTGTATTTAGCTCACTGACCCACATCTCAGCTGTTACTCGGGTATTTGACCTAGTTATTCTATTGAAACTGTTTTCTATTTGGCTCACTGACCCATATCTCAGCTGTTACTCGGATATTTGACCTAGTTATTCTATTGAAACTGTTTTCTATTTGGCTCACTGACCCACATCTCAGCTGTTACTCGGGTATTCGACCTAGTTATTCTATTGAAACTGTTTTCTATTTGACCCATTGACCCACATCTCAGCTGTTACTCGGGTATTTGACCTAGTTATTCTATTGAAACTGTTTTCTATTTGACCCATTGACCCACATCTCAGCGGTTACTCGGATATTTGACCTAGTTATTCTATTGAAACTGTTTTCTAATTGGCTCACTGACCCACATCTCAGCTGTTACTCGGGTATTCGACCTAGTTATTCTATTGAAACTGTTTTCTATTTGACCCACTGATCCACATCTCAGCTGTTACTCGGATATTTGACCTAGTTATTCTATTGAAACTGTTTTCTATTTGACCCGTTGACCCACATCTCAGCTGTTACTCGGATATTTGACTTAATGGATCTTTTTTGTACTTGATCAATTTCTCGATGTTTTGATCTGTCACAAGACATTGCTTTTCTTAGTTGGTTTGTTCAG